CACCGGTGCCTGGCTTTAATTAATTTCTTAAAGCAATTTTTGTCTTTGTCAACGTAAAAGTGTGTCCATTTCTGGATAATGCATGGCACGTGAGTGAAGGAAGGGGTGGTGGTAACCAGTTTGTTTAAGGAAGGTTCACTTAGTGAGCTGGAAATCCAAATTTAAAGATGGAGAATAACTCCACAGCTATATCTTCTTACAGCTCATCCTAGTGTCAAAAAGGGCGTCTGGCCAACTCTACCTTCCACCCAGCTTCCCGCCATGGTATTTACCACATCTACGTCACTAGGACATGAAGTCATGCTTGAGTGCTGTCGGCTTTGCTTTCTGGTGCAGAGAAGGAACCCAGGACCCTGGGGGAGCCAGGCGACGCGCTGAGCTACATCTCCACCCTGTTCTGAGTCTGCGCCATTTACTAAGTCAACCTCAACTTCAGGACAACTTCTCTGACTGTAAGCAGTACACAGACAGATGCGGGGACAGCCAAGAGAACAGTACAATCCGCGAGCATGAGAACACACACCAGACATAGGTGCAGGTGGTGCGCTGCCTTGAAATTCACTCTTTCTGACAGGATTCTGTGATTAGGACTTTTGCCATTTGTGTCTCAAAGTGACATTATCACGGCATATTCAAATAGCAAGGGAACAATTTTCACGAATAAACAATCTAATAGTCTTCAGGGTTGAGGCTGAACCTTCTCCCCTTTTACACAAAGTTCACAACATACCCACCAAAAATAGATTCCCTGGAAAACTCAAATGACTATAATTTTTTCATAATTAGGACAACTAAGGAGAGAGACAATGTTGCAAAAAGCATTAAGAGGATTCTGAAACAGCTTTTCTACTGTCAGCTAACATGACAGTTTGGAGGGGAAAAAAAGCCAAATTCTTTGCTATTACTAAATTCAATGGGAAAGCAGTCGTTGACAATTGTTTTCATGTGGCTCTGAACTGTGCTGTTGTTTTGTTCTGTCTGACTAAAACTGTGGACATCTGAACCATGACTGTCAGTAACAACAGTGTACCTTTTATCAGTCACTCCACAAGGGACTGACTGAGCCTGACGCAGTCTTCTCAGTGCTGATAAGAACGGCAACTTTCTTTCTATTACAATAGTAATAGCTGCAAAATACTGAAGTCATGATTTCGATAAAGATGAAAATCACTATTTGCTCAGAAACAAAGTAATTTTAATAAGTTTTTTAGTGGTACTAGGATTTGAACTCAGGATCTTAAGCTGGCTAGGCAGGCAGGTACTCTATCACTTCAGCCATACCCTCAGCCCTTTTTTGTTTTTCATACTTTTTTGGATCTGGTCTTATAATTTTTTGCTTGGGCTGACTTCAAACCACAATCGTCTTAACCATGACTCCTGGGTAGCAGAGATTACAGCACTGCAACTACTGCCCAGCCTGTACCATACTTTTGATTACCTAAATTTGAATTCCATGGCTCATGAGATAAGACATCTTTATTTTTTTTTCCTTTCCTTTTCTTTCTTTCTTGGCTATACTGGGGTTTGAACTTAGGGCTTCTTGCATGCAAGGCAGGTTTAAGCCATGCCTCTAGCCACAACCTTGCCTTTTATTTTCTGGGGAGTTTCAAGAATTCTGGTAAGGACACTTGGGAATGACTTTTGACACAGGCCTTATAAGAGAAAGTGGAGACCCTTTCTTAATTGGGAAGAGAGCAGGGGCTGAGCGAGGTTCTCACTGATGGAAGAATGACTGATCCAGGATCAGTGCAGAGGAGGCTACTGACCACACTCCACGTGCTCGCTGCAGGGTCCAGCCTTCATCTTGCAGGCTTTGGGAACTCCAGGGATCAAGAAGCATGTGCTTTACTTAAACATGTTCACACTAGGGGAGCTCTCTTTCTTCAAACTGCTCTTGTCAGAAGACCCTGAGGCAGAAGCTCATTTTTGAATCTGGTCCTGGTCCCACAAAGGAGCGCCAGCATGAACTAGAAGCAGAAGGGGACCAGGACACCGAGTCCCAGTGCTCAAGCTCACACAGCAGCTATCAAAAGGCTGCTTCTGCTTCTGAGGATGCAAACTGTTTATGAAACATGAAAACTGTCAACAACTGACATGAACTTAAATTCTTAAGCTCTTATATAGTGGCACTGTAATAAATCAAAGTGAAATTGCCATGTTTAACTAAAAAGATAAATAACTACCTTTAAAAATGTTTTTTTTTCTTTCAAAATCTTTCAAAATCTTCCATTTCAGTATCACTTCAGTCCCTTGTCTTAGGATCTTTCACTATCTTGGCCACACTGGTGCTAGTGAATATGACTACAGAATTCCATAATACAGCCTTGACTTGTTAATTCTATCAGAAATATGTGAAGACAGCTTTTGAACTTAGCTATTCAAACACACTTGAAGTCTGGCTCCTTCCCACATCCTGCAGCACAGAAGGCATCATTACATGAAACAGTGGCATGAATTTCACTGCTGCACTAATTTCTCTAAGGAAAGCAAAATCAAACAAATGAACAATAAAGAAATCTCGGCCAGTCCCTGATATTCAAGAATTGAGTTCTGTGATTTACACTTTCTGTTCTTTGAGATTGGGAAGTCCTTTCTGGCTTTCTTGATGACCCTGGCAAATCCTACTTAAAGTCCCCTTAAGATGTGAGTCTTCACTGTTTCATCTTTCCTGACACTGGGGGACCCCACACAACCCCAAGCACCGTGCTGAAGCATGCCAACTGCCTTGAGCTGAAGGCCTGGACCAGCCTTAGAACCAGCCCTCTTTCTGACCTTCTCCTGGGTTTTTTCTCTTGACTCTTCCTTTCTCCCAAAAGCTGGCCACAGACACCAAACTCCTTTTCCCTGAGGTGAGTGATAGTAAACAGAAGCCCTCTCCCCCAATGCAAACCACTAAACCTGGAAATACTAACTACAACTTTAGCTACTTTTCTGCATAAGAGCTGGTCATAAAGACCTGTGCTGACTGACAGACACCAAGACCTCACTCTGTGCACTCAGCCTTTTCTGGGGTTCCCTCTCAGGCTCTTCCTATGAGGCCACATTTTCTGTTCTTTTTTCCCATTAGATTTCTACATAGCTGGCCATGTCTCCTTGAACCTAAGCATAAAAACAAAGTTTTTCCTGGGTCTTTGGGCTTTCATTTTGGAAGATTCTGGGGCACGTTAAAAACTCTGATAAGTTTACTATGCTTTTCTCTTGGTTTTTTTTTGTTTGTTTTTTGTTCTTTTTAAGTATAGGAATGTCAGCCATGACTTGAGGAAAACTGTCACTTTTCTGTCATTTTAACATCTACCTTCAGGTTATATAAAAATATGTAGGATAACAAAAATACACAAAGTGCTTCCCAGTTCCACCAGGTTCCATGTTTCTGGGCTACTGTAAATTTAATCCAACACTGGAATGTTACATATTTATTGACAAGTTAAAAAAAACCAAACAAACAAACACAGACTACAACATATATAAGAAATCAGTATTTTAAAAAACACTGTTTTGGGGTAGATTCCCAACCCAATGAACATTTATCTTTCTAAAGCTTTACTATTAAAAACAAAACAAAACACAACAATTCCCACCAACTTAATAACAGCAACTATTTCTCTCCTATTCAAGTATGAAATAAAGACCTCATAGCACTTAATTTATTCGCCAGGTTTAAGTTCTCAGTAGAGAGGAAAAAAAGGCACAGAGGGAAAGATTTTAATACCCACTTTTGGTTACACCACTTTTTATTTGATCCAAATGGAATTAGACTTAGTTCTCCTCTATTAGTTCCAACTGATCTGCTAAAAGCCTCCTTCAGAGGACAGCAAAGAGAAAATGTCTTCACTTTATAAATATCCAATGCTATGCTGGCTGGCCTTTGCAACTGAGCATGGTGTTCTACACTGAAGATGCCTGGTCGTGAGTTATTTCCTCACTTGGTCTTTTGATTAAACGCATGCATTTAAGGGATAGATAAAGAAAAATAGGAGCTGGAGGCATGGCTCAAGTGGTTGTCTAGCAGGCACCAGGCCAATTCAAACCACAGCATCATCACCACAAAAACCCAACAAAACCAAACCAAAAAGGATAACTAGAGCTTACTCTTGCAAAGCTAACTGGCCTCTCTGAGGACTGTATCTAACTTTATCAGCATGGTGCTCCAATGGACAAAGTCATGTTATCAAAAGTGCCTGACATTTGCCAGTTCCTGCTTCTACAGCTGGTTGATTCTAAAAACAGAGCGCCATTTAGACTAGTGCAGGAAGGACTACTTAGAAGATGAGGTGTTTACGGCAGCTTCTGTCCATCCGAGAAGTACAAGGGTCACTAGCTCCTCATTTCTTTAAATCTTGTAGCCCATAAACACAGAAAATACCTACTCCCCTCCCCTGCAAGAATGAGACTTTTCCCATGAGTCAGACAGAAGTCTCTGTCAGAAAGGAAAAATGGTCACAACCTTTTCATCGACATTCAACACTTTCATAACCAGTGCACGTTGGGTTTCATCAGGGAGAAATTCTGAAAAAAGCCAAAGAAACCTGAAGCACTATCTAGCCACTGCCCGCTCTCTCCTGATGGATTTGAAATGCTTCCTCTGGACTGTCCCCTAGAACGTTTCTCTTCCTCACAGTATCGTGGCTTAGTTCAAATAAAAACCCCTATGCTTCCCTTTTGATATTGTTCCATTATCAACTCTTCAAGACCATAAGAAGAACTATTTTAAGCTACTCAAGTAATAATCAGACACATTCTGAGGCTGACAGAATGCACAGCTGAGACATAATATTTCAAATGTGGAAGAAAAAGACCTCCACAATCACAGTGAACATGAGAAGCTCTCGTGGAGGAGGGGAAGGGAGCAGAGAGTGTGACTATTTGGGAAAAGTAATGCTTACGTACGGGTCTTGGTAAAAAGATGACTCAAAGGCCCCTGGAATACCAGCTTCTCCCTTTCCTAATTTAGCATCCCTTTGTTTTTTTTTCCAATTCTAAAACATCATATAAGAGCCTACCTGACATTTTGGAGAATTTGCTGTGCTGGGATTGATATTCCGCATTGCCTAAGAGTAAAAAATAAGACGGATAAAAATTACGTTAAGCCACATGGTTTGGCTGTGTAGGCTGACTTACAAATTGTATCCAGACATGTCACCATAGCACAGAATTCCCAAGCTACCCAAGAAGCAGCAGGCTGAGGAAGACAGGAGCCAACGGAGTCACCATGTAACAAAACTGAAACCTCAGAATTTTTAACAGCGTTGAGGACAGGACAGCAAGACTTCAGGGGTCACGACTAAAATGAAAGCTGAAAACGGTCAGGTAGGTTCTTTGCTTCTCTATTAGGTGAAGCAGGGAAAATATTTTGTATTTCAGTGATAAGAGATACTGTCAACGAAGAAGTTTATAGGAAGCCAATTGTCTTAGGATATACTGAATTTATACTGATTGCTAAAACAAAAACAGAAAATTCTTAAAAAAATTCTCACTGTTAGCATGAGAGAAGAGCAGCTCTGCACTTCAACAAGAGAAAAGACAACACAGCAGAGAGCAAGGAAGAAAAAAGGTCACCTGAAGAGGAAGTGAAGCCACTCTGCCAGCACCCATCACCCAGAGTAAGAGTGAGAAGATTTAGAAAAATTCTTCATAATCAAGAACTTTACAAGTACCGTTTTGCCCACCACGGGGGGAAAAAAAACAAAAACGAAAAAACCACCAGGCTGATGTACGGCATACAGTATCATATGGACGGCCCGTTTCTACATTTTTAAATTTATCGTAAAAACAGCAACTTTGACATTACCAATTAAATAACTTTTCTTTATCAAAGTTTCTTGGTAGCCCGCATTTGTGTGAAATGAGACTTGCTTTTACTTAGACAATCTAGCATCAGTCACAACAAAGTGAAAAGCCAACAATGAAAACAGGTTGTGTAAAACACACTTTGAAATTGCTGTACTTTTTCTAAGAGCCAAGTAATTAAATGCTTGATGGTGCTAACTTGTTCTAATACCGTTTTATAAGTGAAAAACGGCTTCTTTGAGGTCATCTGTCAGAAAGGTGCGCCTCTCCGCACCTGCGATGGCAGATGAAAAAGCACTTCCTTCAAGACCATTTCCTGGCATCCTAGGGTGGCACCAACTCTCTTCTCTCCACTATGCCAACGGCAATACCTGGCCAGATTCCTGACAGAACACGAGCAAAAAGGATGAATCTGTCTGGGAGTCCGTGGCTTAGCTGAGTTCCTCAGGTACCAATACCTCACACCCAAATCAGAGTTCAGAGAGGGCACTAACTTCACATATTTTTGACAACACTAAAAAAAACCCAAACAAACAAAAAACTATATCTAAAGAGCTGTAATCCTGGGAAGAGAAATATAAAGTGGAATTGATTTTAAATACACTTAGTATGCTAAGTTGGTGGTGGTGGGGAAGCTTTGATGACCAAAATCCTGCTATTTTACATCCATGAGGAACTAGAGAAATAGGAAAAGGGGTTTTATTTCCAGTATACTTTTACCTTTTGTACACTTTCACTCCTGTGCTGTATTTTTGTCTATTGAAAATATTCGTATAAAAAATTTAAAGAGCTATGTTGCTTAACTAAGCCCAAACCCCAGTATCAAATACTGTAAAACATGGTAAAGCAAAAATTAATTTTTTTTTTTTTTTGCAATGCTGGGGATGGAACCCAGTTCCTCACACATTGCAAGGCAAGTGTCCTACCATTAAGCTACCATCTCCAACCCAAAATTTAATTTGAGATGAGGAATTACCTGTTCTTACACAGTATAAAGACCAAGAGTACTTTCTGGAAAAAAAAAAAAAAACACCTCTGAAGGAAGAGGTTATATAAGGGTTTTGAGCTCTCTACAGTCACATGGTAATTCTAAGACATATGGGATTTTCTCAACTTGGGGATGATATGTATTATTATTGTTATTTTTTTCCATTTTTGTGGACTAGGGTTTGAACTTAGGGCCTCACACTTGTAAAGCCAGCCCTCTACCGCTTGAGCCACACCTCCAGTCCATTTTGCTCTAGTTATTTTGGAAACAGGGTTTTGTAATTATTTGCTCAGGCTGACCTCAAACCATGATCCTCTAGACCTGAGCCTTCCAAATAGCTACGATGACAGGTATGAGCCACCAGTGCCTAGCTATGTATTATGTTTTAAATGAGAATTCTTAGGTTTAGCAACACTGAAACATGCATGTCATTCAAAACATGTCACATCTTTCTCAAGTGATGCCTTGGAGAGTCCCCAATAATGAGCTCCTCAGAAATAGAGCAATCTACAATCCCACATACATTTGAGGCTGCATCCTTCCTTCCTTCAATTTTTGCTCAACTGCAATGACAATGGTCCAAACAGCTCTTCATGACATGGGATTATGAGTTACATTGGATGTGATCAAAGGCCAGTCAGGAATGAAGACAAGGACAGAACTTGGCTCTAAGGGATGTTTCTGTCACAGTGAATGCAGGAAAGCGATGTGCAGAAGTGGAAGCTGGTTTCTAACCTGTGGCCTCACCTGCCGCAGCAGCTCTTGCTGCTTCAACCGCAGTCTCTCCTTCTCCATCTGAAGCTGCTGGAGCCGCATCTGCTGCTGGCTGGAGTTGCCGCCGCCCATGACGCCTCCCTGTGGGCTCTGAGGAGCCATGGGTGGGGGCTGCTTCACTGGAGCACTTTGACTGATTCTCTGGTTCATGGCTGAAATGAAAAAAAAGATCTGTCCTAAAAAAATGAGTTAAAGGATGACCTCAGAGAGCCAAAAGCTACTGGGGGTAGTCGGTGTAGCATTTTTGGTTTTGGTGGCACCACCAGGAATAGCCTAAGAACCAATCTATCACTCAATGGTTACATTCACTCACTGCTGCTGTCACCACTGCTGTTAAAGAAAGGACAAGCGAAAGGAAACACGACAGCTCCAGAGCGGGAATTGAAAATAGTCCTTCTGAAAGTGGGATACTGAGTGACTGAAAGACTCTGCTGACACAGACTCTTAGATAAACTTTGAAGTTTGAATGATGTGAAAATATTATTTCAAAAAATACAAGTTTAAAACTTCAACCCTAAAAGCAACTAAGACAAAGCATTCTGAGTAGGAAAATTCACCAAGATGGTGAACCCTTACTACAGCCGTACACACCCCCCTACTAAAGCAAGTCAGTTCACACGATCTGATACTGCCCACGCCAAACAAGTCTACAAGTATCGATCTGTCTCACTCATCGCCACCGTTCCTCAGCAATACAGCTCAGATGCTCAAGTCAAGTTGAATTTCTACCACTTGAAGGCTAGAAATGGACAGGATTTTTATGCAAGTGAATTTTTTGGTACAGATATGATATTGATAAGCTATGGATTACCTTCATTGCCCAGATGAAGATTGTAAGTAAAAATGACATCTTTTTGGACACATAGTCAACGTTATAAGTTAAAACTTTGGATTGGTTTCTACTAGATATTTAACATATATACGCTGATCAGAGAAAGCCCCAGGCTCGCACGGCTTCACAGATATCCAAGAAAGAAGTAACATCGGTCTTACACCACCTTTGTCAGAGTATAATAAGGATACTTTCCAATATGTAACCTGATACCTTACAAGGTCTTTAAAAGAAAATTACAGCCCAATCTCTCTAATAAACCTTGCTTAAAAATCCTAAGTGCCACATACTGACTGGTCTCTTGAGCTGCTGGCTTCCCAGGCAGACCCCTCAAGCTCATGCTGCATGTGTCCCTAGCTACAAAATAGCGGTTGATTTTCTTGAGAAAACCACACCACACTTTCTCAAGTTCACTACTGAAGAATCTTCCTGAGCTCAGTGTTACAGCACTTGCCTGACACATGCAAGGCTCTGGTTCAATTCCCAAACAGCAAGAAACACTGAAAAACTTGTTCCTCTGGAGCACTGCCACTTTGTGTGTTTACATTTTCTCACCTGATTCTAATTTTCTTTTTTGTAGTTTATATCTTTCTTAGACTGGAGTGGGGTGGCATCCTGTTCATTTATAAATCTTCAGTGTCTACCACAAACTACGTGCTTAACAGTCAATATGGAAACCCATTTCCCTTTGGCTTGTCTAATTCTTCTATGAGGTCGGCACAGCACTGTGACAGAACCAAGAACAGTCTAAGGAAGGAAAACTACAGCCCATCCTCTCTCAGAAGATCTTAGTTCATTCCAACCTGAGCTACTGATTAATACGAGACAATGGTGTTACCAAGTTCTTTCTTTTTCTTTTTTCCCTGATGTTCCTACTTTTCCCTCCCTGTATTTCTTTTTCTAACTTTTGAGTTGAACTTACCCAGTTTAAATCCTTTTGGGAGGATCAAGGTTAGTAAGTTTATATTTTAAGTCCTGCTTTACCTGTGTGCCAGGTGTGTATTTTGAAAAAAGCCTAAGTCCTTGCTGTTCTGCAATTTCTATTATGGATTCTTCTTAAGTCCTGAGCTATTTCGAAGTCTTTCTATACTTCCAAACATAGTGATTCCACAATTGTTTGAAAATGATTTCCTTAAACATACAGAGAAATCAGGAAGGCTGTAAGCCCCAGGTATAAACATCTCTCATCTTCTCAGTGATTAACGGCTACCAAGTCTTGTTTGATTTCCACCCTTGTCCATTTTTTCTCCAATTATTTTCAGGTAAATGTTACAGCCTGTTACCCAAAAATAACTTCAATATGTATCTCTGAAAGGCAGGGACTCTTAAAAAACAACAAAAAAACTGCACACATAAAAATTACAATACCATGATTCTGCTGTCAAAATTTTTCAATTTCTCATGTCTACCCCGTGCTTGGGATTTTTTTTAAACATTTTGTTTAAAATAGAATGTAAACAAGGTCCATAGAATGCTGATACAAATTATAAATTTCTTTAACAAAATGGTTCTCAAAATGTGGTTTCTGGATCACAAGAGCAGCACTATGGTACTGAATGAGAAACCATGGGGATGGAGCCCAGAAATCTCGTGTTTTGTTTTTGTGGTACTTGGATTTGAACTCAGAACCTCACACTTACTGGACAGGCACCTACCCAATGAGCCACACCTCCAGCTCTTTTTCCTCTGGTGATTTTTGGTTATCACTCTTTGGCCTTCTACTCTATGATTCCCATTGCTGCTGGGGTGACAGCCAGGCCTGCACACAGCTTTTTTTTTTTGTTGAGATGGTATCTTGCTTTTTTGCCCAGGCTGGCTTCAAACCACCATCCTCCCCATCTCAGCCTCTGAAGTAGCAAGGATTATAGGTGTGAGGCACCAGCACCTGGCAATCTTGTTTGTAATAAGGGCTCCCATAATTTCTGATGCAGTCTGAGAAACTTTGTTTAAACATAGTATTCTTTTTCCTTGGCCTTTTGTTTGTTCAAGAAGCTTTGTCATTTGCCCTGCAGACTTTTCTGAGCTTAGATCTTGCTGCTTGCACCTTCACAGTACAACTTAATCTCTCTGTGTCTTGATGTGCTGTAACCAAGTTACATATAGAATCTTGGTCAAAGTTTTGGCAAGGATATTTTAATGATAGTATTGCTATAAGCTGAGGAAGCTAAGATCCCTGGATACCTTGTTTTCTGAAACAGCAATGATGACCAGTATGTTCAGAGGTGGTAAACCTACCACATCCTTTTGAAGTCTCCTTCACCCAATGGTTTCTGTTAGCTACTATTTTCTGCCTAATCCATTCTTCCATTACAGGTTGTAATATGATGGTGTTCTAGCATTCTTTCACAGTAATTATCTGAACTTCCAGAAATAAGAATTTTTCCATATTAAGTATTTGGTTACCTGAAGTTTAGTTAGTACAGTCTAAGAATGTTTGATACATTCCTGTAACATATGCCTTTTTTTAGAATGAGTTGGTTCCATAACCTCTTCCCAAAGGTAGGAAAAAGTATGTTCTATTTATGAATTCATTAAGAGCTCCCCGGACTTTAAAATGTGTTTATGATGAGTTTTAACCCAATGGCTATGTTGTACAATGCTCTAGTGGGAGCCCTCTGAGTTGTGTCCCTCTGCTATGGCCATAGGGGGTTTCATCTGCTTCCTTGCTTGCTTCTAGTCATGCAAAGATGTTTTAGGCTTATCTTAAAGCTTTCCAGTGCCAGATTTCAGTTAGTCCTCTTTCTAAGAAGCCCTAGTTTTAGTAGGAAATGGATTAGAGACATTTGACCTTATAACAGCTATTTTTTTATATCTCTTATGCTGAAGATGTTGGTTTTCACATTGGTATTCTTTATACTTTGATATACACGCAACCATCTAAATAGATTATTAAAATTATAGTTGACAAAAGGATTAGAAAGTTTCAGATTTTTCCACAAGTTTTTGTCCTTAAGATATCCCCTTAGGTATACCTGAAACCCTGCAGCTTAAAGTCACCTGAAATAACTATCTTTGCGTGATTAGGCCACCAGCTCAACTTAAGGGTTTGTGAGATACTGCTTTTGAATTTAAGAGACTTACATTATTTTCTATCCTACGCCAACAGATAGCAGGTAACTCCCCCCCTCCCATTTTCTTTTTGAAATAGCTGATTCACATCCTACTTAATTTCTTTTGAAGTTGTCTGTATTAATAAAGTGTGTCATACTGAATAAACTCACACAAGGTTGCTTGGTGGTTAAGCCCAAATAGTTTTGTTAGGTATTGTCAAAGCTGCTACGTCCCCATGGGGACTGTACATTGTGGGTTCCTCAGCAGTAATCCATGAGAGCCTTTTTTCCACAAGTCTTGCCAAATTCTTGGATTTTTGCCAATCTGAAAAGAAATGGATCTCACTGTGACCATTTTTGCTGTGTCTTGCTACAGGAAAGTCTCCTCTTCTTCTTTTGTGTTTGTAGTGCTGGAAAGCAAGAGAGGGCCCTGCACACACTAACAGGCAAGTGTTCCAACACAGAGCTACATCGTTATTTTAAAGGGTCTTTAAATCTTATTCTTCTATAGGTTCATTAACTGTGCTCTTTTCTATTGTATATAATCTATACGTGAAGGATAAGAAACCTTTTCGTCTGTTAGACGTAAGTTAGAAATTACTTCCCTCAGTGTTTCAACTACTTTTTAAATTTGCTTATTTTTTCTCTACTAGTTAATTTTCTCAATAGTCAAAATTATCTTCTTTGAAATTTGAGTTCTTCCAAATTTCATTTTCATGTGACAAGGAATTCACCCATTTTTTAAATTTAAAAAGTGTAAACCCAATTTTATTTATTTGACAATTTAGTCCATTGGAATTTACCCAGGTATAAGGCATGAATGGATCTAATCTGACCTTTCTCCACACAAGTATCCATCAGTGCCAATGCAACCTATGTAAAAGTGTATCTGTCCCCAGTCATCGTTACCATAGACTAAGCTTCCACATTTTGTGATTTTATTTCAAAATACAAAGTGCTTTTATGTTAATGTTCATTATACAATGTATATATGCATATCAGAACAGCCTTAATAGGTTCTCGTAACTGCTAAGGCAAGTTGCTTTTAAGTTAACTTTTTAATTACTGGGTTTTAATTTAACTGCACCATGTTTAAAAGAACACAGTATGATGTGGCTTGTAGAAAATTTGTGGGTTGAGACCCCACACATAGGGTCAATCCTTCTAAGTGTTAGTCATAACCTGGGTCCAGGTCAGCTGTGTGCCTGGCCTTCAGCACAGAGTCCGAGTCTATATCTTCTCCTTGTTCTAGGTTGATGGCCTCAGTCCC